GAACAAAAATTTGGGGCTACTGTTCATTTTTCCTAAAAATCATTTTTCCGAAATTCATTTTTCCTAAAAATCATTTTTCCTAGAAGCTATTTTTCCTAAAATCATTTTTCCTAAAAGTCATTTTTCCTAAAAGTCATTTTTCCTAAAGATCATTTTTTCCTAAAATTTTTCATTAAAAGGGATGCGTAAAAATATCAAGAAATTCCAAATGCACTCATTTTTAAGCCAGCATTTCTTTGGTTTGGTTATTAGTAGGCTTTTATCGAAAACCTTTCTTATTATCATTGATCCTTTCTCACCTCCAATCACCCAAATCTAGGCTAAACGCGCAACTAAAATACTTTCTATGACCACGCTAGGCATATCTAAATCTATTATAAGAAATGTCAATTTTTGGATGTATAATACTAAAAACCGAGACTTTTTTCGATATTTAAAGGGTTTTAGGAAAAATGAACTTTAGGAAAAATGATTTTCTTAGGAAAATGACTTTTAGGAAAAATGATCTTTAGAAAAATGATTTTTAGGAAAATGAATTTGGGAAAATGAATTTAGAAAAAATGATTGTAATTCAACATATTGGTATACTTTACACACCTTAAGATGAACAGGGAGATACAAAAGCTGGGTGCCGGCTGGGGGTTAACTGAATTCTAACCCGATTTGAGATTATAGGGAAGCGCTGTTTTGGGAGCTGGGAAGTAAGAAGCCGTTTAAATTCGAGTCGCACTTGGGGGTGGACTGGTTTCACAAGTTCGGCCTTTATGACTGCCTGGTAACGTGCTTTAATGATCATTAGCGACCATCATTTTAGATGACTCACAAAAAAAATTGTTTCGATGTCAAATGCATCAAACAGTATCCGTTGCTGCCCGACGGCCCTGAGTCGGACCAAGGTAACTGGGTCAGCGGTAATAGAATTATTACCCTGGCGATTATTTTGTTGCTCTCCGATCTAAGCCATTTTTCACACTTATAGCGAAAATCCACATACTTTATCGGCGCCCTGACGAGCATTGCTGGGTCTCGTTGTACAATCCAGGAGCAGGAGAGCTGTTCCAAAGTTGCATGCAGATCTTTGACGCTGGTTATCAGTCCGACAAGCGCCACATCGCGCTGCACGACCGATTTGGGCTCAAGGAAGTCATGCAGCTTTTTGAGTGGGTACCCCCCTGGGTTCCAGATTTTGTTGAGCATTTTTGTCGTTTATTGGGTTCATAATCAAGTTCCTAAAGTTCCCAAGAAAAGTTAATTTGCTTAGAAGTGATGCGATGGCGTACGGGCCGCAAGCGTTGCACATCATTCGCCGATGTCCATGTCGCGATCCACGACGAAGTAAGAAAAAAGGCTTTCTCGATTAAAGTTTATCCAATAAACGTTTTTGTTTTTTCGATCCTACGGGTCTAATAAATTATTATTTGTGATGTTATCTTGTCACCACAATGGTAACATGGAAATAGGTGTGAAAATGGGCAGCTTTTGTCTGAAACATCCGGTGTATTCGCTATCCAGAATGAGGCTGCCGCCAAAAAGTTTCGACATCTAGGCGGCTAAGCCTGCAATTGTTGAACAAGTGCCCGTCAGGATAACAACGACGATAAGATCATTTATTTCAAAAACAGTTAAACATTCGTATTGTAAGAGTAAATAGGTATCATAAATAAATAAATAAAAAGGAGTTTAGATATCTCGCACTTTTGCCAGTTATCCTTTCTTGTTACGATAATCATTCGGATAACGGTGAGCTGGAGCCAGACGAGCTATTCAATCCATGGCGACTGCTAGGACCAGCGACAAGTTTCCTGTATTCGCCAACACAGTAGGTTTTCAGATCAATATTGCTATGTGGTTCAGGCTATGCTTTTCTTTAATCGTAGGAAGAACTGTTCCACAGTTCTAGCTTATAGTCTATTTTATGTTTATGTTTAAAGAATTCTATTCTTTTCTAGACTTAAAAGTCTAAAAAAAAAGATCTGTTGGCTAAGACCATTATTTCCTTGCTACGGTCAACTCGGCACTTGCTCAAACCAACTTTTTGATATAACACCCTCTGGTCCGCGTGCGTCCGATCAAAAGTACGGATTTGCGGACCGACCATAGGCCTACGCTAAGCCGCGGTTAGTGGGGCGGCGGGCTGAGAGGCCTGCGCGCGTTTAGAGCCATCACAGGGTTGCAAATATTCCCAAGTCTCACAAGTTTTTAAAAATGTTTATTAGCGATACTGTTGGTAAAACATCTAACAGCATCTAGAAACTACCATGTGATCTTCAACACCGCCCACGGAACGCTCGTTCCGCCATGTTTATTATCATGAACGGCTCTCCGGTCCATGGAAACTGACGGAGAGCCTCTATTTTGTATCCGGTACAGTAAAAACGGTATTACTAATCAAATCCGAAAACATAGGCATCGGTCACTACCTCGAGTTCCTCAAGGCAAAAGATGTGGGGTAAATCTGCCCTGGGCTTTCTCATCGCAACAACGTCTCTATCGGGTTTTCTCGCATGGCGAAGAGATCGTCTGTATCAACGCGCCGGCAGCTGGGGACTTTTGTGGGAATTCTCTCACTAACTTTAGCCCCGCTTATAATCGTCATCACAAGGTGTCTAAAATACGCCATCCCTCCACCACCCACTGGTCCACGTATTTGAAGACCTTTTAATCGTAGAATACTTTTTTCAAACATAATGCGGAAACTTAAGCGCCTCGGCCGATGAATGCGGTATCCCACTTTCCGTGTGTGAAAGTGAGAGACATGACAAAGCTGAATGAGAATATCGACTTGCGCAGCTTCAACTTTCCAATGCAAAGGACCTTCACCACCCATACGCGGGGCACGAACATTCAACTCATCGTGAATTTTCAGGGTGATATACTAACCCCGATTTTAGCTTTACGGGCCAATCGTAATGAGAGTGAAGAATGCCTGTGACATCGGTGGAGAGACCTTGAGCTTGCTGCTGCGCTTTCACAGTGTACCAAGAAGTAATCTAGAAAGCTTTGATTGGACAATTAAAAGAATTTGGTAAAATCAGTTTCTATCAATGGATTCGCACGATTGACCGTAGGCTCTTAAGCCACCGTTGCGCCATTTTCCGCGTTGGGCGCAAATTGCCAAAACTTTGTTAAATTAAACTGTCTGGCGTCGCCCAGGAGCTCGAGGATTTCCTGGGCGTGTTTTCGAAAACTGTACAATACTACATATAGCTGAAAGTGTATATAGCGGCTAATCGACTGCACGCATATAAGGTTTTTGAAAATAGCTGTTTTAGCTATTAAAATTACGTTATTGTAAAATTTTGCCACCTGTTTTGTTAGGGACAATTAGCAATTAGCATACGCCGGAAGTGTAAAAGGCAAGGGAGGGTATGTTATTCACATTTTGCTGATAGGCTTTTGGGGGTTATGCAAAGTAAACACTTACTAGACGGGGCCAGGGTTGAAAAGCCGCGAAGCGGAAAAGCCTCGAAGCAGTTTTTCCACCCTTGGGTTTATCAAATATGTTTTAGAAACGTCGGTCGTTCCATTGCGCACATCTACCATTCTCCTGACGAGTGTTTCTATGCTTATTATATCGAATTCTCAAATGAAGTGGTTTATATGAGCGAAGAGAAGACGATAGGAGGCAAATTTAACTGGGTGCAAGTGGAGAATTCTTAGAACTATCCGATGCTACGCAGGTTACCTGTTACCGTATATAAATCCCGAAGTAACTGCATTAATAATGCGTCGCACAGTTTTTTCGCACAGCCAACTTTTTCTTCAAGACTGCCTAAATTTATTCTTAACGCGCAACACTTGATGGAAATCTCGCGTTTCAGCCAAAAGATGAGCCGATTGATGGCTGGGATATTATTGCCCATCGAGGGCGCATTTTCCTCGCAACGAAGTTTAAGCTTGTGTACGTAAACGGCATATCCGGGCAGGTTTGGGCAGTTTTTCATGTGTTTTTTCGAGATGAAATCGTCAATTCCCCTCCAACCTCAATATATTTTTAGATAACAGAAACCAAAATATGTGACTACCTCCCAGAAGGAGAAATCCCAAATCGTCACCTACGGCTTGGCTGGTTATGGGAACACAATGGTGTTATGTACGATCTTTTTGTATCGGTTAACGGTAGCCATAACTCATTGATACACAAAAATTTACATAGACGTATTCTTGTACTTCAAAGTCACCGATGACGAGATCCAATGTATGCAGTTTTTAAACCCGGGCGTTGGGCGGATCACGTGCTGGGATGGGTCTGCAAACCACTCGATAGTATTGTAAAACAAAATATTTGAACGATCTGACAGGCTGTGGGCGGAATGAACGGTGGCCTTAGTCGTGTCGACCTTACCGAACTATACCGAGACGATGCGGTACTTTATGAAAAAGTTGAACCATGGACGCTGACTAGCGAAAAGGTTCGGATAACAAGCAACAAGTAACCGTCAGCAGTCAACAAAATAATTTTGGGTTAGCAGATCGTCGTAAATACAGCGTGATTTTTCACTTGAGACTTTAGATCATGAACCCGACCCTATTCGCAGACGGCACCTTCTCTGGGTTTGTGCCAAATCAGTATTAACCACGCGAATTCTAGTCACGTCGGGAACATCCAGCACTTAACAATGCAGCCACGTTGCGATGATGCACATCACATTTATGCGCAAATTGAGAAAGTCATTGACTTTAACCCGTATTACTTAACGTTTTTGCTGAAACGGAGAGGGCAAGCTGGAATCCACTATGCAGTCGTTGCCGATCAAGAGATAGGTGGAAAAACGGTAGTATATGGTATTATTCCGCATAGCTTAATGCTCTTGGGCAACACTTGGGGGGGGGGGGGAGGATCAGACACAGACTTTGATTTTTGTAGCTTGCGGGACATAAGTAATCGATGACGCGCGGGAAAGAAAACATCTCTGCGTCTCGCCCCTGCGCGTTCGTTGCCCAGTTGGCGACGAGCCAAAAAGTCGATCAGGGGTGATCGAACGATGCCGTCTATATCCCTTTAATAACACATTTGACCTCGCCGTTTTTTGCATGGTCACCCAGAAAATAAATAGCCAGTAACTGCTAGTTTGCCTAGTTTGCGACTTTTACCATGGACTTCATGTCCCGCTGAATGGCGAATCCAATGTGGACTATTGCCTTCCAACCGAATATAGCTATTTTTCAAAATCACGCGTGCCGTAAGTTTGTTTGCCACTAATTATCCCTGTATCTCAGGTTAGAATCTTTGTCAGAGCTGCATAATGCCATGCTTCGTCGTTTGCAGGGCGACAAGGCGATCGTAGAAGTATCAAATTTCAAAACCAATTGTCAATTTGTAGTTCGTAATAATGCACAAGCCGGCGCCGGAATATCTTCTTAGAACGGAAATTCCCGTCGTGCGAGGACAGTTGCCGAGGCAGAAAATGAAGGCGGCTTACTTACGCAACGGCGACGACACCCATACGATCTTCACCTGGGGGTCCGTTCCTTGTTTCGCGCAAAACTGTTTTGCACATCAGTACAACGTCCATTTTTCAGGGAATCGTTATTTTACTCAAACGCGAGCGGATGTACTCAAGTCAGATGTATAGATAGTGATTCCCGCAAAACGAGGTGCGCTCACTTGCCCAAAAATACAACAGCACAGCGAACACGAAATTATCGATATGATTTACGTACCGCCCGATCGGAGCCTCTTGTGCTTGTTGGGAAACGGAACCGTGATCACTTTGGGCTGCACATCAGAAAACGGTGAGCATAAAAACAAAAAACACTGCTGGTTAGGAAAGAAAGGGATTCGATGGGCCAATTTAGGCATCCTCAACGTGCTACAGCTGCGTTGGACCAAAAACCCATACATGGACACGGCAGCGGGCTTCCTTGTCGGAGAACCAAAGTTCAACTGTGTGGTAAAGTCTACGTTGTGCTCCATTTCTGGAATAGGATTCCCTTGACATTTGGCCAACAGAACTGTTTTAGGTTGTGGGGTTTGCACGCGGACGAAACCCGCTGGATCGGAAAGTATGAAGTTTACTCGCGAAACGAAAGTACCATTGCTTCAAGGCTGTCTCGATTGTCCTCTACGATCACCCCACGGAAACGCTTGTCTGCAGTTCAGTCAAAGACTATAGTTCATTGCTGGAAGGGAAGAAGGAATTTTATTCGATGTAGGGATCGTTGGCTTTCATAAATTCTGTAGAAATATTGACGTCGCGAACGGACAAAATGTGCTTTTCTGTGCCTTGGGCCGGGGACGACCAGCTTGCAGTGAGGACGGTATTTTAACTAAAAAAACTTAACAGCACGAAGCTGGTGGTTTAACATTTTAGGGAGAACGCATCGACACAAATCATTGTCGAAACCGAGAAACTTC